GTTAAATCCACATGGGTTAAATCCACAGGGATGGAAACCTCAGGGGTCAAATCCACAGGGATGGGAACCTCAGGGGTTAAATCCACAGGGATGGGATCCACAGGGATGGAACCCACAGGGATGGGATCCACAGGGATGGGATCAACAGGGATGGAACTCACAGGGATGGAACCCACAGGGATTGAAATCTACAGGGATGGAATCTACAGTGATGAAATCCACAGGAGTTAAATCCACATGGGTTAAATCCACAGGGATGGAAACCTCAGGGGTCAAATCCACAGGGATGGGATCCACAGGGATGGGAACCTCAGGGGTTAAATCCACAGGGATGGAACCCTGAGGGATGGAACCCTGAGGGATGGAACCCTGAGGGACGGACTCCACGGGGACACAAACCCCCGACCTCTCAGCGCAAAACCAATTTAACAATAAAAACCACAGACACGGCCCCCCTCCCGCCGCTGCCTGTGACAATGATTTGAGTTACTGGGCACTGAGGCAGCTGCTGCTCAGCCCCAGAGCTCACAGGGGGCTCGGGGTCAGCGCTGGCAGAGGGAGCAGCCACAGCAGGAGCTGGGAATCGATTGGGCAGCAGGGACAGGCAGAGGGGACCCGGCTCCCCCCGGAGCTGTCACGACCCGCCTGGGTTGAAGAAGCACCCGGAGCTTTTCTGGCACCATCAGCACCATCAGCAGATATTCCCCTCCCAGGAGGAAGCCCTGGATTTATTGTTATTATTGTTATTATTGTTATTATTGTTATTATTGTTATTATTTCAACTGAAGGTGCTCGGAAGTTCCAAAGTCAAGCGGGTTCCTTTGTGCCCGACTTTCTGCTGTTGGCAGAGGGGGAGGGCTCACCAAAAATGAAATTATTTTGTTCCAATTTCATTAGAACGGCCCCAAAATCAAAGGTTTGTCAAGATCCCTGGAAAGCCACGGGTTTGCTGTCCCAAAAAAGAGGAAGAATTGGAGAGTTGGGGGTGCTCACTTGGAAAAGAGAAGGATCCAGGAGATCTTGGAGGCTTTTCCAGAGCCTGAAGGGGCTCCAGGAGAGCTGGAGAGGGACAAGGGATGGACAGGAGACAGGGAATGGCTTCCTGCAGGGAAAGGGGGGATTGGGGTGGGGTTTGGGAAGGAATTCCTGGCTGGGCTGGCATTCCCAGAGAATCCCTGCACCCCTGAAGTGTCAAGGAGAGGTTGGAGCAATCTGGGATCAGGGAATGTGTTGGGCTTGGGATGGGATGGGATTGAAGGTCCATGGATCCCGTCCCAAACCATTCCGGGATTCTGGGATCCAGGACACTCAGGATCCATCCCCAGGGATTTTTATGGGATTTGGGGATGGAAAAGGGAAGGGAGACCCTTCCTGGAGTGCCCAATTCCCAGGGAATTCCCAAAATTCCTTCCCAGAGAGGAGCTGGGATGGGGATGGATCCAATGCCAGGCTGGGAATGGAGAGGAATTCCCTGGGAAAGGGAAAAATCCCAAAAAGCCCTTCAAATTCGGGAGGGATTTGGGAAGGAATTCCTGGCTGGGCTGGAATTCCCAGAGAATCCCTGGGAGTGCCCAAGGAAAGGCTGGAGCAATTTGGGATCATGGGGTGGGAATGGGATGGGATTGAAGCTCCATGGATCCCGTCCCAAACCATTCTGGGATTCTGGGATCCAGGACACTCAGAATTCATCCCCAGGGATTTTTATGGAATTTGGGGATGGAAAAGGGAAGGGAGACCCTTCCTGTGGTCCGAAATTCCCAGGGAATTCCTAAAATTCCTTCCTGGAGAGGAGTCAGGGTTGGAATGGGATGGGATTGAAGGTCAACGGATCCCATCTGAAGAAATCCAGGTTCTGGGATCAAGGATCCATCCTGAGGGGTTTTTGTGGAATTTGGAGATGGAAAAGAGGAGTCCTGAGTTTCCAGGGAATTCCTGAAATTCCTTCCCGGAGAGGAGCTGGGATGGGGATGGATCCAATGCCAGGCTGGGAGAGCTGGGAATGGAGAGGAATTCCCTGGGAAAGGGAAAAATCCCAAAAACCCCTTCAAATTTGGGAGGGATTTGGGAAGGAATTCCTGGCTGGGCTGGCATTCCCAGAGAATCCCTGGGAGTGTCCAAGGAAAGGCCGGAGCAATTTGGGATCATGGGGTGGGAATGGGATGGGATTGAAGCTCCATGGATCCCATCCCAAACCATTCCGGGATTCTGGGATTGTACGGAGACATCCCCACTTGGTTCCTCGTTAATTTTATGCAGCAGAAATGTCGAAATTTTAATGTTTAAATGTTTAAAATTTAACTTTTTAAATTTTAAATATTCACCAGCCTGGACTAACGTTTACACAGAAGAAGCTTTGAAGCTTTTGAGTTTTTTGAGCTTTATCAACTCAAAACAAGGATATGAAATTTTAAGGCAGGAAACAGAGAGAGTGAATCCTTGGGAATGAAGGAATTTTAGGAATTTATCTGGATATTTCTGTTATGTTCTGATTATTATATTATATTATATTATATTATATTATATTATATTATATTATATTAATTATAATATTATTATATTATATATGAATTTCTGTTATGTTCTGACTAGTATATTATATTATATTATATTATATTATATTATATTATATTATACTACTAATTATATTAATTATTATGTTGCTATATATATATATATTATATATATACATTTCTGTTATGTTCTGATTATTATATTATATTAATTATTATATTAATTATATTATATTATATTATATTATATTATATTATATTATATTATATTACATTACATTATATTATATTATATTATTAATTATATTAATTATTATGTTATTATATTCTTATATTATATATACACATTTCTGTTATGTTCTGATTATTGCATTTCTGATATTTCCCAGAGCTTTGGGAAACAAATCCATAAATTTGTTTTGGTATTTTATTCTCTGGTATTATTTTAAAAAATGAATCATGAAGCATTTAAATGATGATGAGAAAGGGGTAATGACCTTTTTTCCTTCTGTTCCTTTTCTATCCTCAACTCTTCCCCCCACCTTTATTTTCAATTCCTCCTCTCCCCAATTCCAGCCTCATCCTCAGGGATAATTGTTATTAAATTAATTTAGGATAAAGGATATTTATTATTAAATTAATTACAAAAAAATTTAAATATTTCCTCCCTCCTCAGTTTCCCACCTCAGATTTTGGTCTCCTCTTTGTTTGATCCTGCCCAGGGTTGGCTTTTCCCATTGTTTTTGGTCATTATTCCCATTTTTCCAGCCCAAATTCCAGCCTCATCCTCATCTCCCAAATCCAAAATCTTCACCCCCTGCCTCCCCAATTTCTGGGAAATTTGTCATTAATGCACAAATGGAACCCAGGATGGCACCACCCTTCCCAGCAGAGCCCAGGAATTCAACTTTCCCAACACATTCCCAAATTTCCTGCACTGAACCATTCCAGGAGCAGAAATTCTTTAACCACTCACTCATCACCAATGAGCAGCAAAGGATAATTATTATTAAATAATTACAAAAAAATTGAATTATTTCCTCCCTCCTCAGTTTTCCACCTCAGATTTTGGTCTCCTCTTTGTTTGATCCTGCCCAGGGTTGGCTTTTCCCATTGTTTTTGGTCATTATTCCCATTTTTCCAGCCCAAATTCCAGCCCAATCCCACAGAATTCCAGCTGCCATTCCATGAGATGCTGAGGGAGGAGGATTCAAGGTTTTTGCTGGGTTCTGCATTACAAAGAATTCCATGAAAATTCTGTGCCATGTCCACACTCCACGACTCAGAGCATGCTAATAAAAATGATCTAGGAGCAGGATAATTAATACAAATAATAAAAATAATATAATTAATATAAATAATATAAATAATATAAATAATATAAATAATATAGATAATATAATTAATATAAATAATATAAATAATAAAAATAATAAAATAATATATATAATATAATTAATATAAATAATATAAATAATATAAATAATATAAATAATATAAATAATATAAATAATCCCTGGAGCAGGAATTTGGAATTTTTGACTCCTCACTTGCAGTCCCTCACCTTAGCCAAGAACCAAGACATTTTATTTAGGAAAAACTCAAGGAATTCTCCACAAAACCCCTCAGAAAAAGGTTCCTACCCCAGCTTTCAGGATCCCCTCCCTGCCCTGTACAGCTGCATTTTCCACAAGTGCTTTTTTTGCTTTCTGCCTGTATTTTTTAATCAATATATTTCATTACACTGATATTTCTTAGTGCCAGACAGCGCCCAGCCCAACCTTCCCCTGGGATTCCTCCAGCACGACTCCAATTTCTGCACTATTTAAAAAAAAAAAAATAATAAAAAGAAAACCACCCAATTTTGACTCAGATACGAAAAAATAAAATAAAAAACACAACAAAACCTGAAAATCTCCCAGAGTGTTTCAATCATTGCACTGCTCACCATTTGCTCTTTATTCCTCATCACTGCAATTTTCCCCAGGAATAATTTGATATTTCCTTCCACATCACTGACAAAGAAATTGAGCCAAAATGCTTTTATAACACACACACACACACTCACTCTAATTTTGCAATTAATTTGCAATTAATTACCTTCCAGAGGGGATTTTTTTTTTTTTTAAAATTGGAATTGTGTCTTACTCCAAATCCAAGAGGGAAAACCACCTTGGAAAGAAGCAGCAAATATGGGAAGAGCTGCTTCCCACAGGGACCCCAGTGACTCAGGCTTGCATGAGACACAGATACAATTTTCTGCATGAAGTGCTTCAACAAATCTCTTTTTTTTTTTTTCACCTTATTTTTTTTTTAAAAAAAATAAGATTTTTAAATTGTTTGCCCTTTAGAAAACAAATCTGGGAACCGAGCAGGGAGTTTTCCATGGGGAAAAAAGCGGGAATTGAGCAGGGAGTTTTCCATGGGGAAAAAAGTGGGATTTGATGTTTTTTTGGTGTTTTTTTGTGTTTTTTTTTAAAGAATACTCACAAAAAACTGGTCCATGTCCCTTTCCAGCCCCATGTTGGGCAAGTCTGGCATCATGTGGGCCACGACCTTGAAGCCAGCATCCTTGGCCAGGTGGAAGGACTCACAGACAGCCTTCACCGTGTGACCCCTGGGGACACAGGGAAAAGGGTCAGGAAAGGCAGGAAAAGTCACTTTTGAGTCCAGCTGGGATTGTCCCCCCTGGGAGGGTGAGTTTGGGGGTGGGTGGAGGGGAAAATGAGCCCAGATGGGGTTTGGGGGGTGCTGGAAGGGGTAAATGGGCAGGAAGGGAGGTGAGCAGGGGGCTCTGGGGACAGGAAAAGCTGCTGGGGTCCAGGGTTGGTGGCACTCAGAGAGAAAAACAGGAATAAAAACATAAATACATTATTTATAATTATATTTATATTTATATTTTGGAATAAAAACATTGGGAAAGGAGAGAAGGGATGGGAAGGAGGAAAAGCAGCCAACCTGAAAATCTCCCCAAAAATCCCTTCTGGAAAAACAGGAATCACCCCAAATCTTGGGATTCCAGAAGGGTTCCACACTGACAGAACCCAAACCCCAGATCTGCAGGAGCCTGGGGGGATTTGGGGCCTAAATGGGTTTTTTATTATTGAAATTGTGAATTCTGTGGGAAAGGAGCTGCCCCAAGGATCCAGACACAGAAATTTGGGAGAGCTGCTGGAATCCAGTCTGGAAATCCAGGTTGGTGGCACTCAGAGAAAAAAAACAGGGGAATAAAACCATAAATACAACAGGAATAAAAACAGTCTGGAAATCCAGGTTGGTGTCACTCAGAAAAAACGGGAATAAAAACATAAATACATTATTTATATTTATATTTATATTTATATTTATATTTTGGAATAAAAACAGCAGGAAAGGAGAGAAGGGATGGGAATGAGGGAAAGCAGCCAACCTGAAAATCTCCCCAAAAATCCCTTCTGGAAAAACAGGAATCACCCCAAATCTTGGGATTCCAGAAGGGTTCCACACTGACAGAACCCAAACCCCAGATCTGCAGGAGCCTGGGGGGATTTGGGGCCTAAATGGGTTTTTTATTATTGAAATTGTGAATTCTGTGGGAAAGGAGCTGCCCCAAGGATCCAGACACAGAAATCTGGGAGAGCTGCTGGGATCCAGTCTGGAAATCCAGGTGGGTGTCACTCAGAGAAAAACAGGAATAAAACCATAAATACAACAGGAATAAAAACAGTCTGGAAATCCAGGTTGGTGTCACTCAGAGAAAAAAAACAGGAATAAAACCATAAATACAACAGGAATAAAAACACTGGGAAAGGAGAGAAGGGATGGGAACGAGGGAAAGCAGCCAACCTGAAAATCTCCCCAAAAATCCCTTCTGGAGAAACAGGAATCCCCCCAAATCCTGGGATTCCAGGAGGGTTCCATGTTCTGCCCCCCTGACACCAACCCAGACCTGGTTCTGATGGAGCCTGGGGACATTTGGAGCCCCAAAAGGGCCGAATTTCCCACAGTTCTGGAGAAAATCCCATTTTTCCATCGCCTCCCATCAGGAGATTCCCAGCACAGCAGAAAATCCTGCCCCAGAATCCTGGCTCTGCCCCACATTCCTGGACATTCCTCCAGCCCTGCTTTCCTCCCAGCTCCTGGAATTCCAATTCCTCCCAGTTCCTCCCTATTGGAATTCCAATTCCATTTCCATTTCTAATTCCAATTCCAATTCCAATTCCAACTCCAATTCCAATTCCCAATTCCAATTGCAATTCCATTTCCACTTCTCATTTCCAATTCCTCCCTATTGGAATTCCAATTCCATTTCCATTTCTAATTCCAATTCCAATTCCAATTCCAATTCCATTTCCAACTCCAATTCCAATTCCCAATTCCAATTGCAATTCCAATTCCATTTCCATTCCCATTTCCACTTCTCATTTCCAATTCCTCCCTATTGGAATTCCAATTCCAATTCCAATTGCAATTTTTAATTCCAATTCAAATTCCAATTCCAGTTCCATTTCCAATTCCCAATTCCCAATTCCATTTCCAACTCCAATGCCTCAAAATTCCTCCCTATTGGAATTCCATTTCCATTTCCAATTCCATTTCCCTTTCCCAATTCAAATTCCATTTCTATTTCCAATTCCAATTCCAATTCCTCCCAAGCCTTGAATTCCAATTCCTCCCAACTCCTGGAATTCCAATTCCATTTCCAATTCCAATTCCCCCCAACTCCTGGAATTCCAATTCCTCTCTAGTGGAATTCCATTTCCAATTCCAATTCCTCCCTACTGGAATTCCAACTCCATTTCCAATTCCATTTCCAATTCCACTTCCATTTCCATTTCCATTTCCATTTCCACTTCCATTTCCAGTTCCACTTCCATTTCCACTTCCAATTCCTCCCAACTCCAATTCCAATTCCAATTCCAATTCCAATTCCAATTCCAATTCCTCCCTACTGGAATTCCAACTCCATTTCCATTTCCCTTTCCCAATCCCAATTCCATTTCTCTTTCCCAATTCCAATTCCATTTCCATTTCCATTTCCAGTTCCTCCCAATTGGAATTCCAATTCCAATTCCAATTCCTCCCTACTGGAATTCCAACTCCATTTCCATTTCCAATTCCATTTCCCTTTCCCAATTCCAATCCCAATTCCATTTCCCAATTCCAATCCCAATTCCATTTCCCAATTCCAATTCCATTTCCAATTCCAATTCCTCCCAAGCCTTGAATTCCCATTCCTCCCAACTCCTGGAATTCCAATTCCATTTCCAATCCCAATTTCATTTCCATTTCCAATTCCAATTCCAATTCCATTTCCCTTTCCCAATTCCAATTCCATTTCCATTCCCCTTTCCCAATCCCAACTCCATTTCTCTTTCCCGATTCCAATTCCATTTCCATTTCCATTTCCAATTCCAATTCCAATTCCTCTCTATTGGAATTCTAATTCCACTTCCAATTCCAATTCCTCCCTACTGGAATTCCAATTCCATTTCCATTTCCCTTTCCCAATTCCAATCCCAACTCCATTTCCCTTTCCCAATTCCAATCCCAACTCCAGTTCCATTTCCATTTCCCAATTCCATTTGCCTTTCCCAATCCCATTTCCCTTTCCCAATCCCAATCCCATTTCCCTTTCCCATTTCCATTTCCAATCCCAATCCCATTTCCCTTTCCCAATCCCATTTCCCTTTCCCAATCCCAATCCCATTTCCCTTTCCCATTTCCATTTCCAATCCCAATCCCAATCCCAATTCCCTTTCCCAATCCCAATCCCATTTCCCTTTCCCATTTCCAATCCCATTTCCCTTTCCCAATTCCAATCCCATTTCCATTCCCCTTTCCCAATCCCATTTCCCTTTCCCAATCCCATTCCCCTTTCCCATTTCCATTCCCCATTCCCATTTCCATCTCCTCCCACCCCCTGGAATTCCTGCCCCAACCCCATGAGCTCTGCAGGTGATTTTTTTTTCCCCCTTTTCTCCAAATCCCTCTGGATACAAACCCCAATTCCCTTTGGGGCATCCCTGGGTTCATTTACCAGAATTAATTTAATTTATTTTTAAATTTTTTTAAGGATCTTTCCCTCCCTCTCTGCCAGAAGATCCAACCCCCCCCATCCCCCCTGTACAGCTTTAAACCCATTTTCATTTCTGATTTTTCTTTTTTTCCAGGACCATTCCAGTGTTTTCCTGCGACTCCTCAAGGACAGCATCACTCAAGAACCCAGAGCAGCCTGAGGGGGAAGCAAACGGGAGCTTTGCTTCATAAATAAAAATTATTTTCTTATTAGAAGTGGAATTGGAGCTGCATCAATAACTCGATTATTTGATGTTCTTGAATATTTTTCTGCCTGGCAGCCACCGAAAGCACTCAGAAAACCTCACTAATGACTTATGGAACATAATAGAAAAGTAATTTCCAAACTGTTCCCCCTAATTGGTTGGAATCTGACATTTTGCTAGCGGGGAAATATTAAAAAGTTTCAAGCCCAAAAAAAAAACCAAAAAACCAAAAACCCAACGCACACAAAGCACAACAGGAGCGAAACGAGGTCGTTTCAACAGGAAAAAATAAAACCCCAAAAAAACACAAATCACCTTTTTTCTTCAAGTGCATTTCAAGTCATTGCTCTAAAAATTAGGAGAGGTTGAGGAAGTTTTTAGAAATTCTAAAATTCAGGGCAAGGAGCTCTGGGAAAAGCCTTGAAAATTGAATTTGAGGTGGAAAAGGAAATGGGTTTTAAGATTTAAAAATGGGTATTTGGGGAAAAATGGGTTTTAAGATTTAAAAATGGATTTTTTTTGAGGAAAAATGGATTTTAAAATTTAAAAATGGGTATTTGGGAGGGAAAAATGAATTTTAAAATTTAAAAATGGGTATTTGGGAAGGAAAGATGGATTTTAAGATTTAAAAATGGGTATTTCGGGAAAAAATAGATTTAAAGATTTAAAAATTGATTTTAAGATTTAAAAATGGGTATTTGGGGAAAAATGGATTTTAAGATTTAAAAATGGATTTTTTTTAATGGATTTTATGATTTAAAAATGGAATTTCTGGGGGAAGAAATTGATTTTAAGATTTAAAAATGGGTGTTTGGGGGAAAAAGGATTTTAAGATCTAAAAATGGGTATCTGGGGGGTAAATGGATTTTAAGATTTAAAAATGGGTATTTGGGAGGGAAAAATGGATTTTAAGATTTAAAAATGGATTTTTGGGGAGAAAAAAAGGATTTTAAGAGCTGATGAGGAATGAATTGTAAATTGATAATAAATAAATATTTATTTTTTAATAAAAATTTTCAAATAAATAATATTTTAAAAATAAAAATGGTGGCATTAGGAAAAGAAGCGTTCAGCACAGGGAAAGAATGAATATATTAAAAAAAAAGAGGTTGACAATATAGGGAAGAATAGAGACAATAAAATAAAGAGTAGAACACAGGAAAGAAAGAATAAATAAAAACAAAAAGAGGTGGACAATGCAGGGGAAGAATGGATGCATTAAAAAGAAAGTGTGAAACACAGGGAAAAAATGAATAAAAACAAAAAGGTGTGGAGAATGCAGGGGAAGAATGGAGAAAATAAAATAGAGTAAAGCATGGGAAAAGAATGAATAAATAAAAACAAGAGGTGGAAAATACAGAGGAAGAATGGATACATTAAAAAAATAAAGAGTAAAATACAGGGAAAGAATGAATAAATAAAAACAAAAAGAGGTGGACAATGCAGGGGAAGAATGGAGATAATAAAATAAAGAGTAAAACACAGGGAAAAATGAATAAATAAAAACCAAAAAGGGGGAAACAGAGGGAAAGAAGGGATGTATTAAAAAAAAAAGTGTGAAACACAGGAGGGACGGTGTCCCTGACCTGGGATGGGGTCCCTGAGCTGGGATGGTGTCCCTGACCTGTTGGTGTCCCTGGGATGGGGTCCCTGAGCTGTTGGTGTCCCTGACCTGTTGGTGTCCCCAGGATGGTGTCCCTGGCCTGTTGGTGTCCCTGGCCACCTGGGATGGTGTCCCTGGCCAGCTGGGATTTCCTGGAATGGTGTCCCTGGGCAGCTGGAATGGTGTCCCTGGCCTGGGAAGGTGTCCCTGCCCTGTTGGTGTCCCCAGGATGGTGTCCCTGACCAGCTGCAATGGTGTCCCTGACCTGGAATGGTGTCCCTGACCTGTTGGTGTCCCTGGGATGGTGTCCCTGGCCTGGGATGGTGTCCCTGATGAGGGATGGTGTCCCTGACCTGTTGGTGTCCCTGCCCTGGAAGGGTGTCCCTGGCCAGCTGCAATGGTGTCCCTGACCTGTTAAGAGCCCCTGGAACGGTGTCCCTGACCTGGGAAGGTGTCCCTGACCTGTTGGTGTCCCTGGCCAGCTGGCATGCCCTGGGATGGTGTCCCCAGGATGGTGTCCCTGACCAGCTGGAATGGTGTCCCTGACGTGGGATGGTGTCCCTGACCTGCTGGAGCCCCTGGGATGGAGCCCCTGATGAGGGATGGTGTCCCTGACCTGTTGGTGTCCCTGACCTGGAATGGTGTCCCTGACCTGTTAAGAGCCCCTGGAATGGTGTCCCTGGCCTGGGATGGTGTCCCTGACCTGGAATGGTGTCCCTGGAATGGTGTCCCTGATGTGGGATGGTGTCCCTGCCCTGTTGGAGCCCCTGGAATGGTGTCCCTGACCTGGGATGGTGTCCCTGACCTGTTGGAGCTCCTGGAATGGTGTCCCTGACCGGGGATGGTGTCCCTGACCTGTTGGAGCTCCTGGAATGGTGTCCCTGACCTGTTGGTGTCCCTGGCCAGCTGGGATGGTGTCCCTGGGATGGTGTCCCTGGGAAGGTGTCCCTGACCTGGAATGGTGTCCCTGCCCTGGGATGGTGTCCCTGACCTGTTGGTGTCCCTGGGAAGGTGTCCCTGACCTAGAACGGTGTCCCTGACCTGTTGGTGTCCCTGCCCTGTTGGTGTCCCCAGGAAGGTGTCCCTGGGATGGTGTCCCTGACCTGGAATGGTGTCCCTGACCTGGAATGGTGTCCCTGGGAAGGAAGGTGTCCCTGACATGGGATGGTGTCCCTGGCCAGCTGCAATGGTGTCCCTGACCTGTTAAGAGCCCCTGGAATGGTGTCCCTGGCCTGGGATGGTGTCCCTGGCCAGCTGGGATGGTGTCCCTGCCCTGTTGGTGTCCCTGAACAAGGACAGTGTCCCTGACCTAGAACGGTGTCCCTGCCCTGTTGGTGTCCCTGCCCTGTTGGTGTCCCTGCCCTGTTGGTGTCCCTGACCTGTTGGTGTCCCTGGCCACGTCCTCGTAGACGCTCTGCACGCCGATCTCCAGGCAGGTGCAGCCGTAGCCCAGCTGCAATGGTGTCCCTGCCCTAGAACAGTGTCCCTGCCCTGTTGGTGTCCCCAGGAAGGTGTCCCTGCCCTGTTGGTGTCCCTGCCCTGTTGGTGTCCCTGCCCTGTTGGTGTCCCTGCCCTGTTGGTGTCCCTGACCTGTTGGTGTCCCTGGCCACGTCCTCATAGACGCTCTGCACGCCGATCTCCAGGCGGGTGCAGCCGTAGCCCAGCAATGGTGTCCCTGCCCTGTTGGTGTCCCTGGGAAGGTGTCCCTGCCCTGGGATGGTGTCCCTGCCCTGTTGGTGTCCCCAGGAAGGTGTCCCTGCCCTAGAACAGTGTCCCTGACCTGTTGGTGTCCCTGGCCACGTCCTCGTAGACGCTCTGCACGCCGATCTCCAGGCGGGTGCAGCCGTAGCCCAGCTGCAATGGTGTCCCTGCCCTGTTGGTGTCCCCAGGAAGGTGTCCCTGCCCTAGAACAGTGTCCCTGACCTGTTGGTGTCCCTGGCCACGTCCTCGTAGACGCTCTGCACGCCGATCTCCAGGCGGGTGCAGCCGTAGCCCAGCAATGGTGTCCCTGCCCTGGGATGGTGTCCCTGGAATGGTGTCCCTGCCCTGGGGTGGTGTCCCTGACCTGTTGGTGTCCCTGGCCACGTCCTCGTAGACGCTCTGCACGCCGATCTCCAGGCGGGTGCAGCCGTAGCCCAGCTGCAATGGTGTCCCTGCCCTGGGATGGTGTCCCTGCCCTGTTGGTGTCCCCAGGAAGGTGTCCCTGCCCTGTTGGTGTCCCCAGGAAGGTGTCCCTGCCCTGGGGAGGTGTCCCTGACCTGTTGGTGTCCCTGGCCACGTCCTCGTAGACGCTCTGCACGCCGATCTCCAGGCGGGTGCAGCCGTAGCCCAGCATGGCGCTCAGGTGTGGCCGCAGGCAATAGTCCGGCCGCGTCTCGATGGTGATCCCCACGCACCTGGTCAGGCTCCGCTCCGAGTACCTGCACACACACACGGCTCTGCTCAGAACACACCAGCCTGGCCTTGGGGAAACTGGGAACAGCTTCTGGGCTCTTCCAGGTGAGGGGTTTTAAGGATTAAAGGGTGAAATTTGACATTTATTGCTGTCCCAGTACCTGCAGGGAAAAATCCCATCCCTGATTAAAATCCACCAGTTTTGGGTTTCAAAGAAACAAAGGAACAGTTTCTGGTGTCTTCCAGGTGTGGGGTTTTAAGGATTAAAGGGTGAAATTTGACATTTATTGCTGTCCGAGTAGCTGCACAGAAAAATCCCATCCTTGGGTAAAATCCACCAATTTTGGGTTTTAAGTGAATTCAGGAAGAGTTTCTGGTGTGTTCCAGGTGAGGGTTTTTAAGGATTGAAGGTTAAAATTTAACCTTTATTCCTCTCCGAGTACCTGCACAGAAAAATCCCAAAACTGAGCTCCACCAGTTTTGGGTTTTAACACAGGGAGAGTTTCTGGTGTCCTTTAAAGGATTAAAGGGTAAAATTTAACCTTTACTCCTCTCCTGCAGGGAAAAATCCCATTTCTGGTTAAATCCCACCAGTTTTGGGTTTTAAGGGAACTCAGGAAGAGTTTCTGGTGTCCTTTTAAGGGTTAAAGGTTAAAATTTAACCTTTATTCCTCTCCTACATGGAAAAATCCAATCCTTGGGTAAAATCCACCAATTTTGGGTTTAAAGTGAATTCAGGAAGAGTTTCTGGGGTCTTCCAGGTGAGGGTTTTTAATGATTAAAGAGTAAAATTTAACATTTATTCCTCTCCGAGTACCTGCACAGAAAAGTCCCATCCCTGGTTAAAACCCACCAATTCTGGATTTTAAGGAAACAAAGGAAAAGTTTCTGGTGTCCTTTTAAGGGTTAAAGGGTAAAATTTAACCTTTACTCATCTCCTGCAGGGAAAAATCCCATCCTTGGGTAAAATCCACCAATTTTGGGTTTTAAGTGAATTCAGGAATAGTTTCTGGTGTCTTCCAGGTGAGGGTTTTTAAGGATTGAAGGTTAAAATTTAACCTTTACTCATCTCCTGCAGGGAAAATCCCATTTCTGGTTAAATTCCACCAGTTTTGGGTTTTAAGTGAACTCAGGAAGAGTTTCTGGTGTCCTTTTAAGGATTAAAGGTTAAAATTTAACTTTTACTCCTCTCTTACATGGAAAAATCCCATTTCTGGATAAATTCCACCAGTTTTGGGTTTTAAGTGAACTCAGGAAGAGTCTCTGGTGTGTTCCAGGTGAGGGTTTTTAAGGATTAAAAGGTGAAATTTAACATTTATTCCTGTCTGAGTACCTGCACAGAAAAATCCCATTTCTGGTTAAATTCCACCAATTTTGGGTCTAAAGTGAACTCAGGAAGAGTTTCTGGTGTGTTCCAGGTGAGGGTTTTTAAGGATTAAAGGGTAAAAATTCCTGTGGTGTTTTGGTGAAACGATGCCCAGGAATAACCATTAATCCAATCTGGGGGTTGTGTTAATTAATTGGGGTTGTAATTAATACAGCCTGGGGGTTGTTGTGGGTCAGGAAGAAGCGTGGCAGCCTGCAGGGAATTCTCAAGGATATCCATGAAAAGGAAATTCCACAAAAAATCCCTTTGGGAGAGAGCAGTTCCCAGCCTCACTGAAGGAATCTGACAAAACCCAATTTTTTTTTCTGGATTTTTTAGTCCTTTTGTGCCCTTTATCACTGGAGGTCTAACGAAGATGAATTAATTACTCAGCTGGTAAAAAAAAAAAATCCCCACTCTTGATGACAAATGGGAAATCACTGACCTGTGAGAGAGGGGAAAAGAAAAGAACACAAACCAAAATTCCCAGAAAATTGAGAAAATTCCTTTTCACAGGGGAATCAACTCCCTGCAGCTTTTTTTTCCTCAACTTTGAGGTGATTTTGTAACAAAATTTACGGCAGGAAGAGGAGAAAATGTTGGAACTGCAGAGAGAACCTGGAGAAATCCCAAGGCAGGATTTGGATGGGGATATCAGTCTCTGTAATGATGATTATTAATCTCACCCAAATGGTGAATTTTGGGTGTTAATGTGGAAAATGGGACACCTTGAGGAAGGCAGGGATGTTATTGCCATATCTGCACCCCCCAAATTGAAAGGATGACTCAATTCAGGGCTTTATTAGGAGTCTGGAAAGATTCATCATCACACTGCTGGAAAATTTTGGAATGGAAAATAAAGCACAAAACACAATTTTTACCCCCCCAAAAAAATCCCCGATCAAAATCCTTCAAACTTCAAAAAAAAAAAGAAAAAAAAAAATCTCCAAGTGGGTTCAAACTCATTAAAAAATATGAACTCCCTTCAAATGGATGTAAATACTGAGATATTTGGGGGACAGGCTGTCAGAAGAAGAATTAAAAAACAACAAAAAAAAGAGAAATAAAATAAAAATGATGTGAAACATTTCCAAGTTTGTGGCTCACTGATCTGACAGGCCAAGAGCAGCAATTGTTTCTCACGTCAGGGCAAACGCTGCCAAAGTGTGATTCATGAGCAGCAGACTCCCAAACAGCCACTCTGCCAGACGTGAGTTGCAAAAATTAAAAGAGGAAAAAAATAAATTTGGAGTGAAAAAGAGCAAAAAAAAAAGTTTTCAGATAACTTGGGACAAAGGGAAGCTGCTCCTATTAACGCCAAAAATCAGGGTGGAAAGTTAGAAGGGAGATAAAAATAATTAAATCATTGTGGTTTCCAGAAGAAAGAAAGAGAAATTTGATTTTTTTTTTTTTTTGGGGGGGTTTTTTCTCCGCTCTTGGATTCAAAAGGTTCATTTGGATATTCAACATTTTCTCCTGTTTGCAAAAGGAAAATGTGTTTCATTCAGAAGCTGAGAGCAAAGGCAGGGATTGTATTGGTTTAGAAGGCAGACACAAGAAATATCAGAAGTGGACAGGAATGAAAAGCTGAATTAAAAGTGGATTTCCATAACCTGCCGTTTTCTGCAGGGAATTAGCACAGAAAAGCTGAGCTGGGGATTATTACCCAGCACAAAGCTGTATTATATAACTAAATTACATTTGATATTTTATTAAAAAAAAAGAAAGAAAATCAATCTGAGGCTGTTTTCTATTCAATTTTCACATTTTGCGGTGAGCTGGAAACGCTGGAGCAGGGGTAGTTCTAAAATATGGATTTAAATCAAGGATTTAGGGGGGTTTTTAGCAAATTGTGAGGATCCCCCGGTGGAAAGCGCGGTCAGATCCGAAACTGGGATTTTCCAGGCAGGAGAGGAAGAAATAGGAAAACTGGACAAGCACCTTGATCAGTGGGAAAAGCTCCTGAATCCCAAAAATTCCAGACTGGTTTGGGCTGGAAGGGACCTCCAAGGTCATTTCAGGCACCTTCCACCATCCCAAGCTGCCCCTGGACACCTCCAGGGATGGGGCAGCCAAAAATTCCCTGGGAATTCCATTCCAGGGCCTCCCATCCTCACAGGGGGGAATTTTTTCCTATTTTTCTGAGGATTTTGGGGTGGGGATTTCGAGGTTTTTTTGGGATTTGGAGTTTTTTTTTCAGGGGATTTGGGGTTTTTTTTTCTGGGATCACTGACAGGAATTTCTTCCAAAATTCTCCCCCCTTTCCCAGGGAATTCCCTCCATTCCCAGCTCTCCCAGCCTGGCATTGGATCCATCCCCATCCCAGCTCCTCTCTGGGAAGGAATTTTGGGAATTCCCTGGGAATTTGGGACTCCAGGAAGGGTCTCCCTTCCCTTTTCCATCCCCAAATCCCATAAAAATCCCTGGGGATGGATCCTGAGTGTCCTGGATCCCAGAATCCCGGAATGGTTTGGGATGGGCTCCATGGACCTTCAATCCCATGCCATTCCAATCTCACAATTCTGGGATTTTCCAGCCTTTCCTTGGACACTTCCAGGGACTCTCTGGGAATTCCAGCCCAGCCAGGAATTCCTTCCCAAATCCCATATTCCTCCCCTTTCCCAGGGAATTCCCTCCATTCCCAGCTCTCCCAGCCTGGGGTTGGATCCATCCCCATCCCAGCTCCTCTCTGGGAAGGAATTTTGGGAATTCCCTGGGAATTCAGGGCTCCACTTCTCTTTTCCATCCCCAAATCCCATAAAAATCCCTGGCAATGGATCCTGAGTGTCCTGGATCCCAGAATCCCAGAATGGTTTGGGATGGGATCCATGGACCTTCAATCCCATCCCATTCCAATCTCACAATTCTGGGATTTTCCAACCTTTCCTTGGACACTTCCAGGGACTCTCTGGGAATTCCAGCCCAGCCAGGAATCCCTTCCCAAATCCCATTTTTCCCTTTCCCAGGGAATTCCCTCCATTCCCAGCTCTCCCAGCCTGGTATTGAATCCATCCCCATCCCAGCTCCTCTCTGGGAAGGAATTTTGGGAATTCCCCGGGAGTCTCAGGGATCTCCCTTCCCTTTTCCATCCTCAAATCCCATAAAAATCCCTGGGGATGGATCCTGAGTGTCCTGGATCCCAGAATCCCGGAATGGTTTGGGATGGGATCCATGGACCTTCAATCCCATCCCATTCCCACCCCACAATTCCGGGATTTTCCAGCCTTTCCTTGGACATTCCCAGGGATTCTCTGGGAATTCCTTCCCAATATCCCACCCAAATCTCCCCTTTCCCAGTGGGAATCCATTCCCCCCTTGTCCGTCTCCATCTCTCTGCCAACAATCCAACAAAATTCCCTCCAGGAATCTCCTAAATTTCACTTTCTTGCTTCCATTTTAGGAATCACAGAGCCCAACCCAAGGATTTTTGCCTCCTGTCCATTAATTATCCCCAAAATCCCAAAGGATGGCTTGGCTTGGAAGTGCCCTCAAAGCTCATCCTTTCCTGATCCCATATCCCAAAACTGGAATTTTCTTGCATCATCCCCAGCCCTATTCTCAGCTTTTTCTGTGCCCTTCTGCTCCCAAAAAAACCCTCCCGGCTCCGCAGCCGCATCCAGCTGGGACACGATTTCCCTTTTCCCATCCAATTTCCCACTA